AAAAATCCTGCTGTACATTCTAAATACTATATACAATGAAGATACATAGATGCTGTAGAATTATTATCTGAGAAACTGTAAAAAAATCCATAACTAATAAAAAAATCACAAGAGATATAATTTATGTTGGAAGTTAAGTAAAAATTTATTCACATATAAAATATATACTAATTTCTATGAAAATCATTTAAATTTTGTTTGTCCAAGCTATTTACTTAAAAAACAAACACAGTGATACATATTCAGATCTTTGGATTGCATGAAATATCACTAGTTAAAGTTACTTTTCAAATGTACAGAAATTTTTAATGTTTTAGAGAAAGCAATATATAGAGGACATATCATTTTTTATATTGCCAGCCTAGTTTTATGAATTCTTAACACATGTACTACTGTTATTCGATGCCAAAAATACATAATTCTTCTAACCTGTTTTCAAGGAAAGGGTAGCAAATATTTTTTAACTGAATAGAAATTCCTCCATTTCCCTTATTTAAATGTGATTTCTATTTTAAAATCTGTTTTGTGGTGCTCAGGGCATACTCCTGTTTCTGTGCTAAGAGATTATTCCTAGTGATGGTTATTTTGAAATTTTTTATTTATTTGGAATAAAATTTGCTATAACATTTTTAAGTAATTTGAATGTAATTTTCTCAGCAGCTTGTGATTCACATTAAATTCATACTATCAATATATAACAACAATTTTCAAAGCATAATTAAATCATTGGGCTTGTAGTTGGTGAAGCACAGGCAGGCATTGCAAATGTTTTTCCCAGCTTCTGCCACATTGGCCAGCACTGCTGCTCTTCTCTCTTTGAGGTCTTCCTTGATTGCTTCTCTGCACACATTGCAAGCTTGGACACTCACTTGTGGTGGCCTGAGGCTCGTGCCCAGCCATGTTGGCAAATAAGTTTGAGAGTTTTTGAAGACAGACTTCTTTCTGTGGCTTTTTCTCCCTCATCATTCCTCGCACAATCATGGAGGTGCTGAACCTTCTGATCATATTCTTCATCAATGTCGTCAATGACGGCATCTTCCCATGTTGCCGCAACAGAGCCAAAGAGCTCCCAGTTGGTGGTTGTTCTGGGAGTTCTCTTCTTAAACTTTGCAGCCTTTCTTGTCACTCCGTGAAGTAGAATTTTGCATGAAGGAGATGGTGATACAATCCTGTTTGGAATTTTGGGACAACAGCGACATTGGTCAGGCAAAACTGTCGATTGAATATGATGTGGTCAATTTCGTTGTGGAACTGTCCACTGGGAGACTCCCATGTCCAACATCTAGATTCGGCCTTCTGGAACTGCGAATTACCATGGATGGTCTTGGTTGACATGATGAACTGACAGTCTCTCATGCTGTTCATTTCATTCTATGCCATTGGTTCCCAATGTGGAATTCTTCAGCCAATCTTCTAGGTCCTATCTTGGCATTAAAATCACTGACAATGATCTTGTAGAAGGTATGTCCTTCTTTAGAGAACTTTTCCAGCTCCATGTAGAACTTCTCAATTTCTTCTTCATCGTAATTGGATGTTCGTGCATAGATAATGAAGATAGAAACTGCCAGCAGTGAGCCACATTTATTCAAGTGTAATCATCCAATTCGGGTTGTTAGGCACTTCAATGAATCAATGCACATAGCCAAGTTTGTGTAGACGAGGACACCAACACCACCAATGCCTCTTTTGTCACATGTTCAGAGGAACAGTTCTCCAGTGTCGAAAATAGCGTGATGTGATCGACACCTCCACATCTCGGTCAGACCAATGATGTCGTACTTGATCTTCCATGCTTGCACCATCAGATCCTCAATAGATGCTTCCAATGCCAGCATATGTGCATTAAAAGTACAGACAGTCATTTTTAGTCCTTCTTTATTTTGGCAGCCTAGTTTGCCAACTACAAACCCAAGATGACTGTCCTCTGACGTCTTGATGGATCTACCACATCTTCCAGAAGGGCAATGGAGAAGATTATCCATGACTTCTACTCAGATCTCTTCAATAGCCACATCCACCTGCCCACATACCAAATTTCACAGGATGGATATGTCATTCCAACGTTCTCCCTTCCAAAATCCGAAACGCCATTTTGTTGGTAAAGAAGTTAAGAGCATCAGGCCCAGACAAAGTCAGACCTGAACACCTGAAGAACCTGCCGTAAGTATTAATCAATACACTGGCTCAGTTCTTCCCACACTACCTGTCAGAATGCAAGTTTCCATCCCAATGGAAAACCAGCAGGACTGTTATACTGTACAAGAAGGGAGACATCCACAACATTGGCAACTATCGCCCGATCTGCCTGTTGTCCATCATCTACAAGCTTTTCACTCGAGTCATCCTGAATAGAATTGGCAGAACACTAGATGAAGGATAACCATGTGAGCAAGCCAGGTTCCGAAAAGAATTCAGCATGACCAACCATATCCACACGGTAACCAAGCTCATTGAGGTTTCTCGGGAGTTCAAGATGCCACTCTGTCTAATGTTCATTGATTTAAAGAAGGCTGCTGATTCTGTTTAGACGAAGCAGTCATCCAAGCCCTAGACAAACAGTGCATTCAAACTCAATACATCAGGATCCTTCATGAGCTGTATTACCAATTCACTACCACAATCTCAAAATTTTACAGGGAGTTTATTATCCATGTCAAGAAAGGGGTTCGGCAGGGTGATACCATTTCACTGAAACTCTTTAGTGCCACCCTCAAGAACGTCATGCGACATTGAAATGGGAAGGAATGGGAGTGAAGATAGACGGTTGGCAACTACACCACCCCTGCTTCACTGATGACATGGTTCTAATAACAACAAACAATAGCCAAGTGGCAAAAATGCTGGCCCACTTTGACCATGAGTGTGGAAAGGCTGGACTGCAGCTGAATCTCACAAAGACAATGTTTATGAGAAATGGTCTCATTCCTGACGTTCCATTTGCTCTCAATGGAACAACCATCTCCAAATGTAACAGTTATGTGTACCTAGGTCAAGAAATCAACATGACGAATGACGTGGCACCTAAGTTGCACAAGAGGAAGAGAGCATCTTGGAACACCTTCAAGAGCATCGAAGAAATAGATAAGAGGATGAAGAACCTCCAGCTCCGGGCACATCTCTTTGATTCCACTGTTCTTCCTGCACTACCATAAGCCTCAGAGACCTGGGCCCTACATAAACAGGATGAGAACACTATTCGGATCTCTCAAAGAGGAATCGAAAGAGCTAGGCTTGGAGTATCATGCTTCTCTCAAGTGAGAAAAGGAATCCAGAGTTCTAACCGCCGTCGATGACTGAGAATCAGAGAATCAGGGACGCTGTCTCCTTGCCAAGGCGTCGAAAATCAAATGGGATGGACACATAATACGATTTGGAGACAACCACCTGACATCAGAAGATTGCATGGCCATCCACCCACGAGATTGTCATACTTCTTTGTCAAGATCCTGAACAAACAGTTTGAGGCTCATTGTGTTCCTGGAGCGAGCAAATGCCATTGGGCTACACTAACATGTGACAGGGACAAATGGAGACATTATTGGCGCATGCTCAAGCAAATCGATGAGTAACAGCATGTCAAGTGATCAAGTGATCGAGTGATCAATTAAATCATTATGGAAATAGTAATTATAACTTCTAACATAAGTGCCGCTATGTGAATAAAAAAAATTTTTTTTGTAGGGCGGGCCAGAACTCCAGGGACATCTATACAATGGAATACTATGCAGCAGTTTGAAAGTATGACGTTATGAAATTTGCAAACAAGTGGTTCTACATAGAAAGTATAATGCTAAGTGAAATTAGTCAGAAAGAGAGGGACAGACATAAAAGGACTGCACTCATCTGGGGAATATAAAGTAACAGAATGGGAGACAAACACCCAAGAATATTTGAGATTAGTACCAGGAGGTCTGCTCCATGGCTTGGAAGCCGACAGCACATGCTAGGGGAAAATGCACCTCAGATAGAGAAGGGAACACCATGTAAAAGGTGTTTGGAGGACTTGCTTGGGATGCAAGATATGTGCTGAAAGGAGACTATAAACCAAACACAATGGCCACTCAATACCTCTATTGCAAACCACAACACCCTAAAGGAAAGAGAGATCAAAAGGGAATGCCCTGCCATAGAGGTGGGGTGGAGTGGGGTGGGATGGGGGGGTGGGAGGGATACTGGGATCCGTGGTGGTGGAGAATGGGTACTGGTGAAGGGATGGTTACTTGATCATTATATAACTGAAACCCAAACACAAAAATGTGTAAGTCTACAACTGTACTTCATGGTGTTTCACTAATTAAAAAACCATCTAAAAGCATCTAAAGACAATTAGAAACTAAGATCACATAATATTACTTTTTAGCAAAAGTACAAAACAGGTAAAAACTACAGACCTTAAAACTTGTGTAAAGACAGATAGGAGAGATGGTCAAAGACTAAGTGAAAAGAAGCACAGAAATTTCAATGACAAGTAGTTGTAGCAATGAGAGATCTCTGAAAGGGGTACCGATACCTGCAGATGCAAGGAATCTTGAGGTGGTGAAGTATATATGATTAATGGAATGGCTTATTCTTGCAAGTGTAAGAGGTCACTCCACATATATGCACACATAAAGAAGGTACATTTGTAGAGTTTTCATGGCAGCATAATATCAGAATATTTCTACACTATAAAGAAAAAGAATAGACTGGAAAAATATTCTGGTTTCTCATTGCAATCCATTCCCTAAATCCACTTCCTGCTCCCATTCCTGACCAATCCAAGACATAGCTTGATCAAAGAGGTAATGTAAGATCTTGGAAAGCAAGTGTTAATACAAATAAAAAAGGTAAAATGTGATCTGACAAAAGTAAAGAAAAAATTACATGAAGAAAGCAAGTCATTCAGGAAACTAAAAAAATTAAAGGAACCAAAAAGAAGATAAATTTTCAGAGAACACACTAAGAGAAATAGAAGATCAAATGAAGTAACAAAATAAAAACAGAATTATCTGAGAATTATAGTGCTTGGTTTGGCAGCACATATTCTAAAATTGGAACAATACAAAGAAGACAAGCATGGCCCCTGAAGAGTACCATATTTTAAAAAGAGAGAATTAAAATATTAAAATGAGTGAAAATGATATGTATACTTTTTTAAAAAAGCAAATATCTTATAATACACTGTTTACTTCTTCCAAGAAAAAATTCAGAAACATACAGTCCATAAGACTAGAATTCAAGAGGTTAAATACAGAAGTGTTTTATTAAATACATTAATAACTCTTAGAGACAATTGATAAATGTTATCAAATTCAAAGTACAAAATGGGGAAATCATACAAATCATGCAGATTTAATTTAGCAAAAGTAACTAAAAAGTGGAAATTTAAAACAGGTTATTTTCCATGAAAGATATTTAAAATGATGCCCAAGAATTTCTTCTAGGAAAATAAAATATTAAGTCAAAATGTTTTCACAAATTTCTAACAAAGCTTAAAAGAATAAACAATTTGAAGGTCATTCACTATTTCAGAGTATAAAGAATAAATTATGCTTTCCAAATCATTTTTTGAGTAATCATAACACTGTCCCGAAATGGATTGAATGTTAATGTACATGTAAGGACAGATGTAAACAGGCACACAGAATTAGAGAGCAGACTCACTTAGTCAACATATGCAACAATTCAAAGAAATTATTTGGAACAGAAGTCAACACTGAAATATAAAATATTAAATTATTATTAAGGGAAGCTGAATATGAGAGGATAGACCAATATAATCAGTCATAAAATAAAAATCATCTTATCTTATAGTTCTTGGAATAACGTTGATAATATGATATCATTTTCCTTGATAAAAAACAGAATATTCAATAAAATAAAAATAGATATCCCCATAATAATTCTTTTTTATTTATGTTTAATGCAAATTATTTTTCTGTAAAGTCAAGCATGATATCTGGAGAACAACATTTATATAAAAGAATACAAAGCAGTGGTAATCATAAAGAAAGCAAAACATCTTCATTTTTTGTAAATGCTACCAATTGTGCCAGAAAAAAACAAGAGACTCAACCTAAAACTTATTGCAAATGATTTAAACATACACCAACACACAGACGCACACAGTTATTATCAAGAGAAATATTTTCCTTATCACATTTTTAAAATTTAGATAGTGATTGTATTATATATTATGAGAAAATTTATAGAAAGCAAGAACAAAAGAGTAAAAATAGCAGTAAATTGAAGAAGCAACACTTAATCATATACATATGATTGCATATATATAAAAGAACTAAAACAATCTTCATGAATTTTTAAATGTAAAACATTAAAATTATTACCAATTAATAAGATAATACAATAATGCAATGACTGATAATCACCCCTTTTTCTGTAATAACGATGCCACATGAACTAACAAGTATTAGTGTAAGGAGTATGCACAGCTTACGTTGGGTTGTGAGAAAGCATGCATCAACTGTGCTTCAACGAAACCACTATAAAATAAATAATTTACTTTTTCCCTGAAACCAGTTTTCTATGATCAACTTTGAAGCTGACAATGATTAATTAGATAGTATTCTGGTCCGTAGCCCATATGTTCCCATGGAATTCATCTTCAGCATTCTTTTTGCTCTTGGATGGGAGTTCTAAGTATCTACTGTCATTTTCCATGATGTAATAGCTACCATAATATTGCTTAAGATAATATCTGATTCCTTGAGAACCCTGTGGGATGGATCATATTACCTATATTTTATAAATTAGTAAAGTTTGTAATTAAGAGAATTCAGGCTTAAATCAGTCCAGATCATAAAGCTAAGGTGCAATCAGGGTAAGTCATTGTCACTGATGCTCTTTATGAACATAACAACTTGACTTCTTCATAAGTGCATATTCACAGATATATATTAATGTGAAAACTCTATCAGTCTACTTTTATGGTTCTAATAATTAGAGTTGTGCTTTTCTCATTTATATAGAAAATTCTACAGATGGCAAATTTATAGCATGAATGTCACTGTTTCTTCCCTTCCTTTGGCAGATATAGTCATTCAATCATAGCAATCCCCAATGAGTCATATTCAACCTCCTTCTTTTTTCTCAATTTTTATTAAGGAACATGATTTCTAATATTGCTAACTTTCTCTCTTAAATCCACCACTTGGCGCATGCATTACCATGGGTCAGTATTGGCTCCCAAAGTTAAATCCTTTTGTCATTCTTGTGCCACTTTTCATTTTTATCTCAGTCATGTCCCCCAGCACAAAATTCACTGTAGTCTTCCATCAGATAGCTATTTCTTACAACATCTTTATGTTGAAATATGAGTAGTATTGCTGAAAAAGCACATTTCATGGTGTTTTGGAATATTTCCATATAAATTTCATTTTTATTTAATATTCATAAGAATACTAAAATTTGTATAGTGTTTTTACAAGAACATTTTGATGACTCATTCCTCTTAGACAATGTTATTTATATCTTTTCTACTATTGGTAAGTGAACAATTGGTCTTTCCAGATTTAAGCATTTTTATCTTATTGTAGCTTTTCAAGTAAAATATTTCATAAATTTATGCATACACCAAAAGCAATCATTTTTATCAAAAATTGCAAATAGACATCTGTGTATATAAACATAGTGTGTATCAATACTATAAAAATTATTATATTAGCAAATGATATAGCACTGCACTGGACTGTCCTCCCATTGTTCATCGATTTGCTAGAGCAGGCCCAGTAACGTCTCCATTGTGAGACTTGTTACTGTGTTTGGCATATCGAATATGTCACGGGGAGCTTGCAAGGCTTTGATGTGCGGGCGAGATATTCTCGATAGCTTGCCAGGCACCTTTAAACCTGTTCCCAAAGTCTTTGTTTAAATCTAGAAAAGAGCAATCCAGAGGGAGACTAGAAGTTTGTCTGGGAACAGTTGCCAGAGAAAGAACTCTAATGAGAAGTGCCATATTTTGCTGTGGCAGCTGTCATGATGTGCAGACCTACTTGTTTAGGACTCAAGCAAACTCATTGTGAGAGGGCCAGGCAACATATGTGACTCAGCAGAAATTGATCACCTTTACTTGGCTTACCATTTACTTCAAAGGCACAGCCAATCATTACAGTTAATCAGGTTGAAATAATATTATAGACGACCGTATGTGTTATTGCTCATTCTGGAGTATAGCACAGAGGGTAGGGCGTTTGCCTTGTACAGAGCCGACCTGGGTTCGATTCCCCCACCCCTCTTGAAGAACCTGGCAAGCTACCAAGAGTATCTTGCCCACACGTCAAAGCCTGGCAAGCTCCCGTGACATAGTCAATATGCCAAACACAGAAACAACAAGTCTCACAATGGAGACATTACTGGGCCCACTCGAGCAAATCGATGAACAACGGGAGGACAGTGCTACAGTGCTACAGAGCTACTGTATATAATTTTTGGTATGTGCTAACGTGGTCTCCTTTCTTTTCAGTAAAATCTACATCTTCCATATCAGCTGTCTTTGTTTCAAAGATGGAGATCTTTGGGGAAAAGGCATATGGCGAAAGTATGTGCAGTGACAGGTGGGCAGATGGAAGAGGCACAGGAAGGCTACTTAACTGTTTCCTCCTCTAGGCCAGCCCTGAGGTTAGAAGTAAAAATGAACCAGATAACAGACATAGCTGACATAATCAGCCAAGCTTCACTCACATGTCCAGGAATTGGCCTCTTTGAGAAAAACTGGGGAGTTCTGACAGAGTCCCAGCCTCTCATAGAAACAGCCTCTCATTCCTCAGAGACAGCCTGAGAGTGGTTTGGAAAAGACCTGCAGCATTTTCTTCCATGTGTTGAGTCTCTCAAGACCCCCTCCCAAATCCCATGGGTTAGAGTGGAGCTTATGACACATTAATACCTTGTCTATTATGATGATCTTCATTTGAAGTAGATGGGAATAGTAGGGATGTTAGCTAGCTCACACATTCCCAAGGGATGAGAAAAAATAAGACAAAAATAATATTAAATGTAAGCTACTTCTGTGTTAGCCAGATGCTTAGAATTTTACATGTGGAACTTTGAATTCCTAAAACAGTTTGGTAATTGTGAACAACTTGGTAATTCATGGTCTTAAAAAATTTTATTTTTATTTATTTATTTTTATTTTAACTTTATGTGAGATTATTTCAAAATAGAGAGTACTCCTATGAACTAGGGGATATTATGAAAAATGTGACCTTAAATGTTGACTGATTAGGCCCTAATTGACAAGGCTATTTGACATTGATAAATTATTATCAGTCAAAAAATAAAATAATTTTTTGCACTGTTTCGTGGGAATTTTCTGCAGATACTCTCGGTATAACAAACTGTTCCTAAGAAAAGAAAAACCAAAACCTTATTCAGGCACACCCCCTTCCTGTTTGGCTTTGCCTTCAAAATAGCTAGAGGAGCCTCAGAACTGTTATAAGTGCATTTTTAAGAGGAAAAAAAGAATGGAAACTGCATGGTCATCCTGGAAGCCAGATAACTTTCTGACTCAAAACCTCCATCCTATTTGTTCTGAAATTCAGCTCCAGTTTTTCCTCAAAGCTCCTCCTGCTTTTCAAAGAAATCCTCTTCCTATTTTTCTCAAGATTCTCTTGCGTTTAGTCCAGAAATTTACCTCCTCTTTTTCAAGAACTGGAAAAAGGCAGATACTTCAAGTCAGTCCTTTGACCTGCTGTATTCCCTGAAACAAGGGGACATGGAGATACGCTTGAGCACTGTTCCTATCTTACTAGCCCCTCTGAACTGAAATAGTCTTCTTTTCTTGCAAAAGCTGTGTGACAGTGTTTAGTTTTCTCCTGTACTGGCAGTGGCTCCATGTTCAATTTCATTATAATCCTAATTTTCTATTTTTTTTATTTTTGGGTCACACCCAGCATTTCACAGGGGTTTGCTCATGGCTCATGTACACAGAAATTATTCCTGGAAGTGCTTGGGGGACCATATGGGACGCTGGGAATCAAACCCAGATAGGCCGCGCGCAAGGTAAATGCTCTACTCACCGTGCTATCACTCCAGCCCCAATCCTAATTTTCTAAATAAGCAAATGTGCTTATAGAAATTTAAAAATCTTAAATCACGGAGCTCACAATGGG